TAATAATCTGTTCAGCACTCATAAACTCTTGAGATAAGATAATAATCTGTTCAGCTCTCATTAACTCTTTAGATAAGTTAATAATATGCTCAGTACTCATTACTTCTTCAGATATCCACAAGCCAAACAGAATGTATAGAAACACACACACAAAATCAGAGTAGAGATGTCATATGTCACAGGGTTATGTAAGTTTATTTCTCAGATTTCCTCTCAAGCGAAAACAGAATCTGTACTGTCTAAATCCAAATTAATTATTCAACATGTGGCTTTTATCAATTCTGTTAAGGTCTGCAGTCCCATTTGTCTTTCTGTCCAATCACAATGTGGAAGAATTAACAAGAGGCAAATTATCTCCTTCAGTCACTCTTAAAATTAACTCTCACAGCCCTATCTATCCCAGCAATCGAACCCAGGGTAAGTATGCATTGAACTTCCTTGATTTTGAACTAAGGTGCTTGGTGATGAAGACTTGTGGTGGTGGCTGTGGGGAAGTGCATGGAGATATACCTCTCTATCTACTGAATTCATGCTTCCCAGGATGTTCTTTTATACCCATTTTATGGTAACCAGTCCCCGAGAAAGACCATGTGTGGGAATGCCGCGAGTGCAGGGATGTAAATTCTCAATTCATTCACTCATACTGAAGTAGAAAAAGGGAAGTAAAAAGGAGAGAAGGGAACAACAAAAAACAGAAATGAACAGAACGTAGGTGAAAATAATGAGCGATAAGAAAAGAGAGATCACGTGAGAAGAGTGATGATCGCTCTCTGGCGCTGCCCTTCACATGCAAAATATTAAAGTGAAGGTCCCTTTTTAATTCATCGGTACACCAGCCACACAGTGCTAGATATTTTCTTACATGACAACTGGCAATTTGGGTGATTTATTGAGGCTTGGTATGAATTACCGAGGGTCTATGTTCTATTAACCAATTAGGGAAAGGAAAAAATCAAAAAGACTATCAAATCATGCACTGATATACAATTCTCAGTGGGAGACGGAAAATTCAGTCAAGAAAGTAATGCACATGCAACTCATAAAATCATATATTTCAATATCTGAAATCTTTAGTATGCAGCATTCCTTACAGTATTTTGTTTGTTTCTTGTGTTGACCCAATAATGTCAGGAACGATCATGTGGTGACACAATAATATCAGGGACGACCAGAAGTTGACACAATAATGTCAGGAATTTCTATGTGTTCACACAATAATGTCAGGAACAATCAGGTGTTGACACAATAATATCAGGGACGACCAGGTGTTGACACAATAATGTCTGGAATTTCCATGTGTTGACACAATAATGTCTGGAATTTCCATGTGTTGACACAATAATGACAGGGATGACCATGTGTAGACACAATAATGTCAGGGATGACCATTTGTTGACACAATAATGTCAGGGATGACCACGTGTTGACACAATAATGTCAGGGATGACCACGTGTTGACACAATAATGTCAGGGATGACCACGTGTTGACACAATGTCAGGGATGACCACGTGTTAACACAATAATATCAGGAATGTCCATGTGCTGAAACCATAATGTCAGGAATGTTGACACAGGAATGTCCATGTGATGACACAATAATGTCAGGAATGTCCATGTGATGACACAATAATGTCAGGAATGTCCATGTGATGACACAATAATGTCAGGGATGTCCATGTGTTGACACAATAATGTCAGGAATGTCCATGTGATGACACAATAATGTCAGGGATGTCCATGTGTTGACACAATAATGTCAGGAATGTCCATGTGTTGACACAATAATGTCAGGAATGTCCATGTGTTGACACAATAATGTCAGGAATGTTGACACAGGAATGTCCATGTGATGACACAATAATGTCAGGAATGTCCATGTGTTGACACAATAATGTTAGGAATGTCCATGTGTTGACACAATAATGTCAGGAATGTCCATGTGTTGACACAATAATGTCAGGAATGTCTATGTGTTGAAACAATGAAGTCCATATGTTGACACAGTAATGTCAGGAATATCTTTATTTTGACAGTTATCTAGTTTTAACATAAGGCTGCGAATCCTGGTCAAACGGTAGGCAGGCCAAACAATATTTAGAGGCCTCAGAGATGTGGTTTTACAGAAGAATGCTTAGAATACCTTGGACAGCCAAAAAGAGCAACCAAGAGGTTTTGAAAGAGGCGGTGCCCGAAGACAACTTATCACAGACATCAGAAGGAGACAAGTCATCATTTTTCGGCCATGTTATGAGAAAAGGGAAAATAGAACATGTTGTGACCACTGGGAAGATCTGTGGAAGGAGGGATAGAGGAAGACAGACAACGAGAGAAGATGCTTGACAGTCTTGTTGCAAGGCATGGAGGTGTGTCGGCACACGAACTGATACATGCTGCAGGAGATCGCAGATTATGGAGAGGCATGATCGCCCACGCCAGTTGGCAAGGCACCTGATGATGATGATGATGTAGGGAATATCTATGAATTGACTCAGTCATGTCAATGTCCCCTTGTTTGATATGACTAGCCAAGATTTAAGAAAAAATGTTGTCTGACATGCCAAGCAAGAAATGTCAGCAATGACCGTGCACCAAAAATTAGAGAACTCTCACTTTGCTACTGAAGATTTCAAATCATTCTCCTGTCAGTGACCCTAAGGGCATTCAAGTGAATCTTCCAAGGTGTGTTTACTGAAAGCTAAGGTTAAAAATCTGAGGTGGAGGTTGTTCTTGAGCTTCAGGTGGGATGAGATCAACAAGGCTAAATTTTAACTGAAGCTCAAAAAGATTATGCATGCCAAGTTAAAGTTAAAGATGAGAGGATGAACTCCACTACACCAGGTTTTAGTCCCTATTGCTCTGTATTTCTCTCTCCAGAACGTCAAACCACCTGCCAAGAGCATTGCAAAAAGCATGAACTGCATAGCTCTGATGGCAATATCTAGGGATCTTCATAAAAATTGCACCCATAAACTAAATGGCCCAGAAGTGAAGTGAACTCACAACCCTCAGAGCGTGCGGAAACAGCCTGACCACTTCACCATGGAGACAGCCATTCTGCATGACATCAATCTATATATCTAGTTCAAAGAGGAACACCCAGAATCAAATAGGTGGATTCCCTGTGTAGGCTGCAGGGGCCCATTCTGAGAGCCAGGGGGAGACATACTCGTCCCCCACCCCCCTTCCCGTGAAAATAGAAAAGCTAGGGGTCTGCTGGGATCAGATGAGTTGGGCCTAAGGCGAAGATATCACATCATAGCTGAGAACCACAACACATTATGCTAACTACCCTTTTAAGAATGAATGAAGAAGAATCAGACAGGTAGATAATATCAAATGTTAGCCAAACACAGTTGTCATGGTGATACATTTAGCACCAGATCAAAAACACCAGTGTTTAAAAAAAAAAAAAAGCTATGTCGCCAGTAACATGGAGCTTAACTGCACTGCATTTGTGCCCTTACTGATGTCTTTAGGAATATTATGGGATGGTGTAGCAATATCTTCCACAGCATGACTTTTGCACCACTGTCTGAAGCCCTTGAGAAGTGTCTTTGCTAAACCACTTCCCAGAGAATCTTAACTAGCTAGCTAAGGATTATGAAATGCAATCCAAGCCTCTAAACCCCAAATAACAACCTGTAGTATTTCAGAAGAACTTAAGACTAGGCTATGCCTATGAAACCTTTTCATTCCAGTGGCACATCAGGCATATGACAGAAACATATTTTTAAAAGTCAACTGACCCTCAATAAGTGATATGAACTAAATTGGTACCCACTTTATGCTGCGTCAACCTGGGAGCCTGTGTTATTTTTTTTAAACAATCTGACATAATGCAGATTCGAATCCAAGACCCTTGGGTCAGAGGTGGAATATCTAGCCGCTATCCCGAATGTCAGTCAGGCAGTCACAATAGTATAGCACAGTGGCGCCTTGGATCATTACCAGTATGAGCTGTTGAATTATCTTTCTTTGCTGGGACTGGGATCTCCTGCCAGTGACGATCCTTATTTTCAAAATGCTGGCCCCTGGATACACTTAGCTGAATAGCCCTGGTATCGTAGCTAGCAAATTTACAAGCCAGGTTATAAGATTAACTCCTTCAGTCCCAATCAGCTGATACTTTGACCCCCTCTATTCTAAGGAACAGAGCTTATAAATACATATGTATGATGCGTTGTTAGGTACTGAAAGGGTTAAACATCCATTTATATAAAGAGCTTGTAAAATTTATATCTGCTACTGGGTTGACCCAGCCAAAATGGGTTCTAGATGCTCTAGCCATCAGTACAAAAAAGCAGCTAGCACCATATACTCACACAGCCCCAGAGTATTTAACCTCGCTCACAGAAACTGACATTTATGTTTGGATCCAATTCTCCGTAAATGTCACTTAACCAAGTGATGTGTTTATTAGGAGACACAGGTTATTGCTATTGGTTGTGTTTGCGCCTGTGCGAATTTAGGTCAGGATATGAATGTATTTACCAAAGATGGTGTTATTGTTTTCTTGGGAGGGGCTGGGGGTCTTGAGAACCAAATGGCTTTTTTATAAACGACACTGAGGTCCAATAGTCTTTTAGTTTCAGTAAGAGGTCGTGCCATGAATTGCCCCATATATTTTTTTAGCCCCTCCCCCTGAAATGTATTTCATTTAATGCTTCAGTCTGTCTATGTTTGTTGATCATTTCCTTGACATATCTTTATATAGCTCAGAATTTTTTTTAATTTATGTAAATACATTTTTTATAAATGTTTTTGTGACCTGTTAAAAACTGCATTTTAAAAGATTTTCCATTAACAATGTTTCCTAGCCTTTGTGGAGTAACAAGGTAAGAGGATCCTTTACTTCTCACTGGGTATGTAGGTTATTTAGAGAACAAAGAAACATGCAGGATGGTAGACAGACAGAAACATAGAAAGACAAGACATCTAGCTAGACAAACAAACAGGCAGCTAGACAGTTAACAAACAACTGTCAGTGACTGAACTTACCGACATAATCTGCCCCCGTTTCCTGGCCACAGTCCCCAGACACCTCATGATCACACAGCTCCTGTTCTCCAAACGAAACCTATCACACAAAACGAAAATGAGACATCAGTAACTGACACAGCTGTTATACTATCTGTCTTTTCAAAGTATATATAAAAGGTTTAGGAGCGGCTGGCAGAATGGTTAAGAACTAGGTGAGTAAAGTACCTTTTTCCACATCTGCAGGTGTATTAGGCATACTAGGTTTGACCTATATTTTACAGACCAAACTGCATTCAGTTGGTGGTGATGTCAACATCATCCAGCCGCCTTTACTTCTCAGGATTTTACCCAGGACCCATCTAAGGCTGGGTCTACCTGGGAGCCAAGGTTGTTTAAGAAGTAATAACAGTAAACTGCACTAAGAAATGGATGTACTGAATTGAACTAAAAATAAGCGTAAGCTAAGAACTGACATCACAGCAATCGGGATATTCCCATAAGTGCTCTGTCATCCTCTTCAACAGCCAGCAAAGTGTTTCAATTCTATTTTTGTATGTCCGTCTTGGTTGTCCTCTACGTCTAGAGAACCTGTAGTCACTTCCAACTCTACCATTATCTCTAGATTATAATGATCAATTGTGACTCTGCATTGTTCACTTGCTCCCAAAGGGCCTTGACCTTATCTAGCTTGTCATACACAAACTCACCACCCACTGGTGCAGAACCAGCCAGCCTGTGGATTGCCTAATATGCCCACACGCCTCAGAGAAAATATTCAATGTCCGTTACAATCATAGCTGTGTGCACAGCTGGTTCTCAGAGAAAATATTCAATGTCCGTTACAATCATAGCTGTGTGCACAGCTGGTTCTCAGAGAAAATATTCAATGTCCGTTACAATCATAGCTGTGTGCACAGCTGGTTCTCAGAGAAAATATTCAATGTCCGTTACAATCATAGCTGTGTGCACAGCTGGTTCTCAGAGAAAATATTCAATGTCCGTTACAATCATTTCTGTGTGCACAGCTGGTTCTCAAGTCAGCAGAAAGCTGTATAGACCACCTCCGAATATCAGACGGGCCTGCGTGTCCAATCTGTAACCCTTTGAAAATAAAGTTTGTTCGTTCGTTTGTTCAAAAACTAGATGTTGTAGTATCATATGATAGACTTTGTTGCACTAAACGGCATACATTTGCTTTCACAGTTAACAATAATGCACTTCTTCTGCCTCTCAACACAGAGTCGTCTGTATAATCACATCACCTGGACATCATGAACCAATTGTTGAAATTCTGATTCTGCACTGCCTGCTAGTCAATTGCTGCCCTCCCGGCCAAGTGTGATTAGAACCCTAAACAAGTCTGCTTTCTGCTCTGACACTTTGACCTATCCCTCTAAAACTGAATGCATGGTAGCTTGACTGTACGGCAGGAATAGTTTCCAAGTACACAAAAATGTCCAATTTACTTTACATATGGTGAAGGCAATATATTCAAACAGGGCAGTCAGTTTCTACGCATGAGCTAAATTATTACACCACGATATCTTACGGGAGATGTTATAGAGAGACCCGAAATGATGAAAATATTACTAATATATTTTTTTGTAAGATTCCTGGGTTCATGCAAACCAGCCCAGGATTTCTGGGGTAGGAGGGTTTAGAATGAATGATGTAATAAACACAAATATCACAAACAGGCTGCCATTAAACTTCAGACACAAAAGACTGCACACAAACAATAAAGTTGTAGCATACCTGGACATGAGACAGAACATCTTTCATGTTGGAAGCATCATTCTCTAGCTTAGTTAGGTGGCTGGAGTTATCCTGAAGTTCTCTACGCAGGTGACAGTTTTCAGATTTCAATGACGCCACCTAATGAAAGATTTTGTTAAATAAAAATAATAACATCTACAAATACTTGGAGTCACCAAATTGAAAGAGAAAGCCAATCAATGAATGGTAACAAGTGAAATCTCCAGCAATCTTCTTCTTTTTCTTTGCGCTCACCAGCTGTAAACTCTGGTGGAAAGTTCTGGTTGTTCATCCACTTCTGGACTGCAGTCCTTTTCCAGAACCTGAGTGATGTGTATGCATCCGTTTGACAGGTCTGACAAATCTGTGTGCAGACTGTTGGTTCTGTGCCTCTCAGGCAGATGCACTCCGACTTCAAAGAAAGCCCCCAATGAGTCGACTCTTACAACATGCTTTTGGGTAGGCAGTGGGTCTATTCTTGTTTTCCTTATAATAGGGCCCCGGAACCCACACGGGGGGTCTCCAGCAATGAACCTCAAGGGCTCGGAATGCAGAGGAAGAAGAAGAGATCACCTCTTACAAACAACATCAACTGGATTAAAATATCAGATACCACAGAGAAGATCTGAAGGTTATGACTGAAGTTGCACCAAATCAGGGGCAGCAGTAGCAGAGTGACTCAAAAACGAGTCTACCAACATGTCGCTATAACTCCAAAACAAAGAAACTTAATTCACTGACCTGTCCAGACAGCCTAAAAATGACCAAAAGAAGAGGTTCTGTAAAGTAAAGAACTGACCACATCCCTCATCAAGTGCCAGATGGGCTACAATATGGACTGTACACTCGAAACAGTTCAATGCACAAAAGGGAACTGACATTTTCTTCCCTGGGGCTGCAGTCTGAAGGATTTGGTTGGTTATTGAAGCAGGACAATCCCAGATATACCCTGTTTAACCTCTCAGAAGTAATATAAAACCCTTAACAGTTACACCAAGTCATACCACAGAGTACCCTTATGAGACAAATCCCAGATACCCCATTCAACCTTTAAGAAGTAATATCAGAACATAGGTAACAGCTAAATCAAATCTTATCCAGATGTACAATGTTGTCAAGAATGGGTGTAATCACCAGTTTCTGTTGACTGGTCAGCTCCTTCCATTTTTGGTAGCCGGTTGCAATGGATTTCATGGTTGCATGCCTGAGGTCTGTCCAGTCAGTCAGTTTCTGTTACCAGGACTTTCTTGGTCTGCCTCTTCTCCTCTGTTGAGCCCTGCAGTAGTTTTTGAGAGGCCGTTAGATTGTACTGTCCATACCATTGCATTTTTCGCCTTTTCACTGTAGTTTAAAAGAGGTTCATAGTTGCCAATGTGCTGTATAATTATATGGCGAACCTCTTCATTTTTAATATGGTCTCTGTATGATATGCCAAGAACTTTTCTGAAACATTCCATTTTCAATGCTTGTATCTTTCTTTCTATTTCAGCTGTTAAGGTCCACGTTTCAGTCATATGTAAATGTACTCATAGCTAGTGCTCTGAGCAATCGAATCTTAGTTTTGCATGAAATGTTCTTGGGTCTCCATGTTTGCTGTGTGGAAAGGACTGATGTCTAGGCAATCCTAGACATGTTTCCTGGTCTTGACCCCAGGTCACTTAAAATAGATCCTAAATATTTGAAATGACTGACTTGTTCTAATGTGTGACCTTTAATGTACATTGGTGAAGTTATGCCAGCTGAATTATTAGTCGTCGTCACTTTTTTCTGCGTTTATTTCCATGCCATTTCCAGGTCATGTTTCACCGAGCAGATTTACAAGCTCGACTAGCACTTGTTCATCCCCGACTAACCCATCGATGTCATCTGCAAAACTTAGGTTTGTTACAGTTTGACCTCCTATACTAACTGTTCATAATGTTGCTCTAGGGCAGTGGTTCTCAACCTTCCTATTGCCACGACCCTTGAATACAGTTCCTCATGTTGTGGTGACCCTTGAATACAGTTCCTCATGTTGTGCTGACCCTTGAATACAGTTCCTCATGTTGTGCTGACCCTTGAATACGGTTCCCCATGTTGTGCTGACCCTTGAATACAGTTCCTCATGTTGTGGTGACCCTTGAATACAGTTCCTGATGTTGTGCTGACCCTTGAATACAGTTCCTCATGTTGGGCTGACCCTTGAATACAGTTCCTCATGTTGTGGTGACCCTTGACCCTTGAATACCTTTGAATCCTCATGTTGTGGTGACCCTTGAATACAGTTCCTCATGTTGTGGTGACCCTTGAATACATACATATTGTGTCCTGAATACATGTCATGTTGTGGTGACCCTTGAATACAGTTCCTCATGTTGTGGTGACCCTTGAATACAGTTCCTCATGTTGTGGTGACCCTTGAATACAGTTCCTCATGTTGTGGTGACCCTTGAATACAGTTCCTCATGTTGTGGTGACCCTTAAATAAAGTTCCTCATGTTGTGGCGACCCCCAACCATAAATTACTTTTGTCACTACTTGATAACGTCAATAAATATTTATTTTGGGATGGTCTTTGGTGACCCATGTAAAAGGGTTGTTTGACCCATAGGTTGAGAACCGCTGTTCTAGGCCATCAGACATAATTCTCTCCAAGAATATATTAAACAGTGTTGGGGAGATGAGGCAGCCCTGACAGACTCACTCCCACTGTTGTTTCGGAACCAGCTCCCTATTTGTCTGTTCATCATGGCAGCACTGTTCTATACTATGTATGAGGGTGCTACCCATATTGCACTTTTTCATAGCGTCCTAGAGTGCTGCGTGCCATACTCTATCAAAGGCCTTTTTGAAATCAATGAACACATGGTATTGCTCAGATAATATGTGTAGATTAAATATCTGTTCAAGAGTGCTTCTTCCAGCATGGAAACACACCTGTTCTGCTATGATGTTTTCTGCATGGGGCTTCAATCTGTTTAGGAGTATCCTGAGCATGACTTAACTGAGATGACTGATGAGACTTATAGTCCTATAATTTTAAGTGTTGTAAATTGTTCTCATTTTTTGGGGGGATGGTAATGATGAATGATTTGGTCCAACTGATGGCCATTCACCAGTCTCCCAAATTTTGTTACAGATTTTAGTGAGGATGTCGATGACGCCCCCCCCCCCCTAATGATCTCAGCTGGGATTTTGTCAATTCCCCCACCTTTTCCCCCTTTTTGTTTTTTAGTTTTGATGGCTAATTCTACTTCATCCCAGAGTATGGGGGGAAACTGTCATCTTCCTGTGCTTGGTTATTGTCAAGGATGACAGTGTTGTTATCCATTTATTTATTATACGAGCTCCAACAATATTCAGACCATCTATTTAGGATGTCATTACTTTCTGTGAGTAAGTTACTTCTGTGTCTTGGATGGCATTACTTGATGATGTTTTCTCTCCCCCGATGTTTGAAATATTGGTAAAAAATTTTTTTTTTTTTTTTTTTTTATGGTTCAATTTGTTACATTTTTCTATTTCTGCACAACTGCTTTCTAGCCAATTTTCTTTTGCCTCTTGCATGGATGGGGAGAAAATTATCTGAAAAACGAAGGTCTTTTATCTACTTTATAGACCAAATCACACACTGCAACACAAGAAAATGGGCTATGGCAATTGATACTATGTTATTTACAGTCCTCAGACATTCTTCTTTCTGTTCTATCTTGTGAAATCACTTTGATATAATGGAATATAGATTCTGTGGTGAAGTAAAGCCATTTTTTTTTTCACTTTGAAGGCAGTGGGCTCATTTTCAGAATCCATCTTTTGGTTTTTGTTTTCTTCCTTGGGCAACTTTTTAGAATAACCGGCAATAAACATAGTTGCTAAATATAGCATTTATGTAGAGGCTTCCTTGTGAAAAATGCCTTTCTTTATATAAACTAAGACAAAGGGGAGTGCAGCAGCAAATGACCAGGGGATCTAACTGACATACTACGCTCAGAGGAAAGGCAAGATGGACATATAATCAAACTGCTACAGGCATCATAATAATGGGGAACTCTTCAGTAGCTGCTGAAGATAATAATGGAGCACACATGTTAATGTCTAGTGCTGTGATGTCAGTTTTTGATTCAACTCAATGTACCCAGTTCAAATCCTAACCTGTTTGAGAAGTTCATCATATGAAGACAAAGCCATATGCCTCAGTGAGTGGTTTAGTTACTGCAGCTCAGGAAGTTCCACAGTTGCAACTGATGTAGCAAGTTAAACGTAGCACAGCTCTGCTATGATCCTGTGACCTGGTTGTAGTGTTACACACATCTGTTCTGTGCAGCACCTGTAATAAATCAATCAGACAGTGTTGGCTTACCAATGATTATTTAGTTGATACATCTACCCTCCTTGCACATCAAACCATTCTGTCTGTGAGTGCCTGGATCCCCTACTTAGTAAATCCCCTTCTCAATTCAATTATGCATGATGCTCAACGTGGCTAATATTTAGCATGGAGATTCTTTCTTCTTCTTCTTCTTGTTCACCGGCTGTGAATTCCGGCGGTAAGTCGCGGTTGTTCGTCCAAATGGACTTTTGGCTTTTACCTTGACCTGAGTTTTGCGTGTACATCCATTTTACTGGCTTATTTGTTTGCAGTTCTCGTTCCCCGCCTCTCCGGCAGATGTACTCCGACTTTGGGGGAAGCATGGAGATGACTGAGATGTTTAGTATATAAGAACATCAGGTGTCATTACAGAATAGATGACAGACAAAGAAACTAAAAGCAAAGCTGCATTCTCTTCTATACTGTAAAAAAGTACCTTCTCCATGCCTCTAGGAGTATTGATCTTATAGAGCTAGGCTTATATTTTATAGGCAACGGTGGGTTATGTGGACAACGTTCAACATCATGCCAGCCATTTTTACTTCCCAGGACTTTACCTGGTACCCATTTCAATTTAAGTCTGGGAGCCAGTCTTTTCTTTTTTAAGTCCAGCTCCATCAGGATAAATCAAGTCCACAGCCAGCTTTCGGAGCCCAGTCTTTTCTTTTTAAGTCCAGCTCCATCAGGATAAATCAAGTCCACAGCCAGCTTTCGGAGCAGCATGCGAGCATCTAGCCGCTACACAATGGCGGCTCCCTGTAGTAAATATTGCAATTAATGTTTAAATTTACAAATATTGAACTACTGTTATTATATTATTAGTTATTATGGATCTCCTCCGAACTTCTACCCCCGCATTATGGCGGCCTGAAATATCCTTACGGGGTTCAGGCATATGTAAAATGCAGACTTTCTGCCAAGAAACAAATCGTGGCAAAACTAGGATTACTTGACAAATTCAAGAGACGCAACATTGCAGAGGATAAAAAATAATAGCGACTATTGACAATTTCGAGACATTACAGACGATGAACGTGATATGGCAGGTAGACCACGTGTTTCCACGCAGATTAGTACTACTGTTCTTCCGATTGAGGATGTAGCAGCGGTAGATGTCAGACTTGTCGGCATGCGCAAAACGCAATTAAACTCACCGCCGAGCAGATGGGGGGCTAAACTAGGTGCCTGGGACTCACAAGCAAATTAACTGGAGGAAGTTGCAGGAGATGCGGTAGCTGCTGCTCGTAAGTCCCAGCCATCTAGTTTTGCCACTATCCGCGCCGCGCGTAGCGGCGCGGGGGATGCACGGTTGGCGGTGAGGCATAGTCACAGAAACAGGTCCGCAAGTAACATATCGCTGAGACCCTGTTAGAGCATTTGTTTCGTTATACAGAGCCAGCATATTTTTAATAGAACTGAGCCCCGTAAGGATATTTCATGGCCGCCATATGATAATGCTGGGGTAGTTCGGAGGAGAGCCGTTATTATTACACAACTTTTGTTGCCCGAGCGTCACCATCCATGAACATGCCCGTGTGCACACGACACTTTTTATTGCCATCTATTATTTGTATCATTGTAATTGCTGACCGCAAACATGCATTCTATGATGTTCCTCTTAATTTAGAATAGACTGCTTGATTTCAAGTACTTTTTTTTCATTCTTTCAACTAAGATAAATCATAAAGACTTGACTCGAGTCAAGACGACTTAACTTAGGCTGCCATATGCAACGTGTTTAACTTTTATTTCTGCTGATCTATGTTTAAGCAGTATAGTTTGCGAATATGTGAGCTCTTTTCTTTCAACTGATAAGATAAATCATAAAGTAAGACTTGACTCGAGTCAAGACGACTTACCTCTTAACTTAGTAGGCTGCCTCGATGCAACGTGTTTAACTTTTATTTCTGCTGATCTATGTTTAAGCAGTATAGTTTGCGAATATGTGAGCTCTTTTCTTTCAACTGATAAGATAAATCATAAAGTAAGACTTGACTCGAGTCAAGACGACTTACCTCTTAACTTAGTAGGCTGCCTCGATGCAACGTGTTTAACTTTTATTTCTGCTGATCTATGTTTAAGCAGTATAGTTTGCGAATATGTGAGCTCTTACTTTCACATTATATGAAGAGATGGCTTATAACAATATTAAATATCATCCTTCCTTTCTTCTTTCATACAACTCGTATCCTTTCTCTTTCATTGTTTTGTTTTAGCTATCGTAATTAGGTAAACAAGCAGTAATAAACTTCCACTGCACAGCAAACAATTTATGAAGCGCCACAGCATTAACTGACCTTACTCCAGTGTGTAAAAGTAATTTTTGTTACATATAATGAGCGCTACAACCAGAAATAAAATCTACAATGAGAACACAGGCGATGTTGGTGCTTGAAACAGTCATGTCTTGTCCGCCATTACTTGTGTACCGTGACGTCATCCACAGCGGGGTCAGTCATTGGTTGATGAACTTCAAAACACCTGCCGACAACACGGATGGGGAGACAGACCAGGCTCTTACTGGCACCATGTATTCTTTATCCCTTTATTGACCACTTCATTTGAAAATGTCAACCCATATAAGAATAGAACTAGTCTCCTTAACAATACTTCAATCACGAGCGACAAAATCAACGTTGCGACTAGAAATACTTCATCAGTAAACCGCAAACGGACAATGGTACAATTACAAACAATAAAATACATTTTCATCTTTATTGATCCGCGTGTATTGTTTTGTTCTGTTTTACATTGTCATCTTTATCGTCCAGCTTATAATGTTTTGTTTTCGTTTTTAAAGCATCGGGGTAGCGGTTTAAATTATTTTTAAAAAAAAGGGCGTTATTATAATATACAGTTTACGTCTGTGGGTGTTTAAAATGATTCTTTACAACATGCAAATTAACAATTGTGTATCTCTGGAGTGAGAAATATATGCTGAAATACATAGTTTAAAGATTATCGTTACTGACATCATAAATCGTTCGTCGCAGCAGCAATAGTAGTAGCAGTAGCAGCAGCAGCTGTTGTGTTGTTAGAGTTGCTGTCAGACCTGTGATTAGTTTTATGACGCCCCTGTGATGTTATTTATTGTATGCCCCTTCTTTCCTTTAGCTAAACTTCAGCATCTCTTTTCCCTTACAGACTACCAAGAATAAGTTGCGGAATTGTTTAAATGTTAAATGATTCAGTACAGTACATGTTGGGGGAAAATGGGTTGGTGTGGGTGGGGAGGGGGTGGTTGATTTTAGCACACACATGGGCGTGCCTGAAATGCTGTGAGGATAACCTGATAACTCAGATTATAACACAGAAGCATAAGAATAAAAACTTTTCAACAATAACGTGTGCGTGTTTTTCTTTACTTCACCACCATTCTCGGTGTTTACTGACGCCTTTGTTTCAATCATAATCAATGCGTTACTTTCATCAAAGAAAGGCAGAGCTATGGTTGATTAAGTACCTTCCGGGCTTGTCCGTTTATGTGGAATCCGTGAAACAATATTAGCCAGTGTTTGTTGGTTAGTGCTTTGTTTTCTCTACGAGGCTTTCCTATCACTTTCGCGCCATTAGCATTGGTGAGTAATAGCGTGGTAATGATCAATAACGAATTGAATGAGGTGTACGAGCTGATAATCTGAATATACAGCCGGTCCAGGGAGGACATGGCCCAGTCACATTGAGCTCCCTCCCCTCTCTAGGTTGGCTGAGTGCACCCCTCTCCGTCCCCAGTTCATGCACAGACGTTATTTTATCAAGAATTTGTTAATACATTTCATATTATTTAAAACACACAATTATATTTACTGCCATTTAGCACGTAACAGTAAAAACAACAAAAATAGTAATAATAATAAGTGTTATCATTATTATTTTAATCTCAGATAGGTCTTTAGCCACTTGAGATCCTCTTCCACCATACACACCCCAGTTCTTAGAGTCCCCCATGTGTTCTTTGCGGCAGTGCGCCTCAACCGGTTTATTTTTAACTGAGCTGTATAAACAATTGCAAACATACTAAACGTATATCGGTTTGTAACCACTTTAACTGTGTAATAGAAAATGCCAACAACTTGCTTTTGAAATAGAAAAGTAAAGTAAAGATACCTTTTCACGCCTTAAAGCGCATCGGGCATGTGGGAAGAGCACTCACATTTTTACAGACCACACTGCACTAGGTGGGTCATTACGCCGGCCGTCTTTACTTCCCCACGACATGCATCCTGGTACCCATTTTAGGCTGGGTCGACCTAAGTCCCCCGTATTCCATGATTATGGTCCACTCAGCCAGCAGTGGGTTTTGATCGCAGTAATGCAAGTCGCACTCGCAACGCCTAAGCCACGGACGCCGATAGTTCACTGATGAGTCCACGAAGGGCGGATCTAAGTTTAGCATGGGCATACACAGCACACAGGCTGCGAAAAAAAGAGGGGGTGGGGGGGGGGCGATAGTGAGGCTTAGATGGAATCTACGTCAAGCTTGACCATGGGGATAACAGAAGAACGAGCACACACATACAGTTAGGTTAGGGGGCCGTGGAAACATTTTTAATTGAAAATTGATTTGATTTGATTCAAGAACCGGCAGTCGGGGCATTCCCATAAGCGCTCCGTCCCCATCTTCAGAAGCCAGCGAAGAGTTCCGATACTAATGGTGCCAGTAACATTCTGATTAAACGTCCGTATTGCCTTTCCTCTGAGCCTGGAGCATCTGCCAGAACCTCTCGTCACTCCCAACTGCATCAATCACCCCAGACTGTGGTGATCCATCTGCTCCTCCGAATTGTACACGCTCTCCCACAAGGCACTAACCACGTCT